AGTAAAGAGTGGGGTACCACCCTATTTCCCTCCTGCTAAATCTGTATGGGTTATGTAATATGCAGAGTTCCTTGATTTGGTTCGCTGGGCCTATACGTTCTGCTCCATATTGTTATTTCAAACTAGAGTATTTTGACTGTAGGGTTTCAAAGGCTGCACAAGGAGAGTAATGGTGTAGGTTAAAGGAAGCTGATAGTGTGAAATCCAGTTAGAGAATCCATTTTGAGATTTTTTCTTGGGATTATGTACGTAGCTGCAGACAGTATGGAGAAAAAGCTTCAAGGAGATATTTCCTAATACCAGATACCTGACCAACCCCAACTTACCTTTATCTTAGAGAACTCTATCCTTAGCAACTACTGTAATACATTCCCAGTCACAAACAGGAGCAACTTTGTGCTAAGCACACATGGGATTGTTAGGGCAAGAATTATACTGAAGTCTGACAATTTTATAGCCTTTTCCATATTAGCCTAAACTATATATATGTATATCTCCAAGAAACTATATATGATTTTTTTAATTTGTATTTACTATGCTTATGGTCGCGGTCTCTTCTGGTGAGGGAGTTTGCTTCATACAGGTGGTGTAAAAATGCTATTTCTTAGCTCAATTGACAAAATTTCTAGAATTTGTAGTTTTAAATTATGTAGGCTAATTGTGAACTGCCTTTTTCATGCTAGTGAACATCTTTATAGTTTTCACTTAAAATTACTGAGTTAAACCATTTTAGTGAATTTGCTTTGTTTTCTTAATGTATTGAATAACAAACCCAAAAGATAGGCTGTAAGAAGGTAAATTACATTTACTTTTCCCCTCTAACTCAAGATTGTTGCCTTGTAGAAAATTAAGAAAACGTACAGCTGTAACAAAACTGCCCACTGTCCTCCTACCCAGTATGATATCATTTCCATGGGATTTAAAATATAGTGGTATCCAGTAATTAAGTCGATGTATTCCCAATTCAGCACTTCCAGCTGGAAAAGAAATTGTGCATTGTGATGGCTGAAAGATGCATTACCTACAGATTCAGTCTGACCCTTATGTTTAGAGGCTTTGGTAGGAAGGTATCGGGGCCATTTTCATTAAGAAATCTTAAGCTGCCTGCAGGTTAGACTGAGAATCACTTCAGCTTTCTCTAGCTAGTTTGCTAGAACTCTGCTCTTCGTAAAATTTAAATTTTCAACAGTCTCCTAGTGTGCAAAACCTAAGGATGTTTGGTGCAGCATTTTTCCGTTCTACTTGAGTCAGCCTGTTTGAAGTGCTGCAGGATAGAGTTCCATACAAGCTTCTCTATAGAATAGTGTTTAAAAGGATAATTAATACATGCTTGGTAGGTGCTTAGTGATGAATTAGGGCCAGAAGCTTTTATAGAAAGAAAAAAAGTGGACCTGAAGGCTGTCATAAAAGCCTACCCAGTGTATCTTTGGAATACCAGTACTGCATTAAGAGTGCGCAGCTTTAATGCAATTAATAGTCTCCTAAAATCATAGCGAGGTCAAATTTCCATATTATTCATCCTGACCTTTTGATTTACAAATATGCATAGGAAGAGATCACAATATAAAACTGTAGTTTAGTTCTGAATCTAACCTTTACATAAAGCAACCAAATTCAACTGGGATTTTTTTTTCTCTCCCACAAAAAGTAATGAAGCACTTGTTTTTCACATGAAGCAGCTTACAAGGTATATTTAATACATCTCTTCAGTGTTTCACATAGCTAATTACTGAGTGTAGTTGCATATTAGTTGTTCTAAGGTGTCATCCCACAATTCAGGGATCTTGGTATTGTCCAATAAAAAATAAATTCTTGCTAACACAGTCTCTTACCACTGGTTAGTTTATTTCCCAAAAGAACAATTTGTTTAATAAACATAGATGCTGGGGGGACTGGGAGAACGTTGCCTAGGTGTTCAATGTTCCCTAAAGAAAATTGCTTTCTTTAAATCCTGCCAAAGTAAAGAAATAGAAGATGACTATAGCTTCTCTTTCATGACTGAAATGTATTATACAAAATATAACCAATGCCATTAAGGAGAAAAAAAGAATTAAATCAGAGTGTCTTCTATTCATCCTGACAACATCAGACATAGCAATGAGTATCATGCTCTTGATACCTCTTGTATATTCTAGCAAGCAAAGTACCATCATCTTTTCCGTGATGAAATAATTATCAACACTTACCAATAAAAAAGCAGGGCTAACAAATTTCCAGCACAGTCTCCAGTAGAGGCCTGGCTTGAAGCCCATCATTTGTTGGATATCTTCACTGAATCTGTCCACACCTAGGAGGGATGTGAATGTCAGACAGGTGTAAATCTAAACTGACGAGATGCTGGCATACCCCAAAACATCTGCTTTTTCAGAAAGCAGACAATAATGACTTCCAAATCATATAACATATAACATGCCTGTGAGCAGTTATGGTCTGTTGCAAATAGCATTACCACTGAAAAGTGGCATTTCAGAAATATCTAGAATTTAAGTTGCGAATGGGACACACATTTTTTTTAATAGTTTTGGATAACTGTAACCTAATTACTCAATTTTTTTGAGTACATAAGGATTTTTTTATGAGTATATAAGGAGAACCCAGCCCCTTATTCACAAACTGCTTACTCATAATGAGGTAGATTCATATGATTATTAATTTATCAAAGGAGCCCTATTTGTTCCACTTAATGGCATACTTCACTTATCTTTCACTGTTGCACTAAATACCACAGATGTTCATTATATCTATGACAAATGTCATTTCACCTTTCATCACCTTTCCAAGGAACTGGGTAGATGCTTCCTCTGCAGTGTAAGTATGCACAAAACCACAGTAGCTAGAAACAGGTGGCCTTTTCTAGAGTATCCTGGGTTTTTTTTGAAAATTATAATACCAACTAGAATTTTCTAAAATTGTTACCTCTGTATGTATCTAAATAGCTAGTAATGTAGCTGTTGTGGATACGTTAGAAGATACATGATTTGTTCATGTGAGTAAAACCCAAGAGTAGTCAGAAATTTTAGCTGCTGCAGTAATTAAGACAGCAGAGGATAACATGAAAATCATTAAATGAAGACACAGATCAAAGGTAAGTCCTGCTAATTGTACCGGCAATGTAGAATATGGGTTTAGAAACATGGATGGCTTGATTATTATGAAAACCTTGATAGTATTATACAATATTTCAGTATAAGACTTTGTATATTAGTGTGCAAGAAGTAATGTACAAGATTTCTATTGTCATGAAAACAGTATTTATTCAAAAGTCACTCAAACGTTAGCTACCTGCAGTGGGATTCACTGCACTGCAAAGAGACGGAGGCACCAGAACAAAATGTTTAACAAGTGACATAATGACCAGAGGGGAGACGAGCTGCAAATACTCAGTTCTCAGTCTGTAATACTCCATCTGTTCTGAGATTTTGTGTGCATGTGTTGATACATGTGTGCATATTTAGTACTTATGTCATTTGAAGTATTAATAGTTATAAAAACAGTGTACATAGTTGCAGTATAAATCTCTTCCCACAGCCAATGCAGAAAGGAAGATTGTCTGACCATGGTAAATCCCCTTCAGAAACACCATCTAGACAGTGACTTCAAAATCAGAATAGGTCATGATGCGCAGGCCAAGGTGAAAACAAAACAATGTGCTGTCCTGGGTGTCTCAGGACAGAACAGATTGTGTAACAGCAAATAAGGAAAAAATGGCATTTCAGTCAGTGTCTCTCAATTCCTTATGGGTTTTACAGACTACTAGTTTGTAATTTGTTATACTTGATGTGTTCAGAAAGCTTGCTTTTAATCCTGAACCCTATTAGGTAAAGAACAGAAATGCAGCTTTTTGCCATGAATATTTGTTTTTTTAGAGAGGATGTATAGTTTACCATAATAATTGTTTCTTTTCACATGGAGCAGTTCAGTAGGATTTATATAAAGTATTTCATGTAAATAATTATGACAGCTTGAGTTAGTCCTTTATATACAGCTAGGATGTAACATATTTACAGGGTCTGGACATTTGAGTGTAAACTTCTCTTTGATTTCCACCCCCCACAACATTATGTACAGGTGAAGCAAAGTAGCTAAAAGGATCTGCAAATGCTCTTTAAATTTAATCTAATTCTATTTACAATGTCTCCTGTGAACTTTAAAGTGACTGAATTTCAAATGATATGAATACTGAGTGAAATTTATCATTGTGCAGAAGGTCAAAGACAAGGACTAGATATCTCCAAAAATTTTATTCATAGGTTTCCAGACAGACGTACCCAGAGCTCAAATAATGCTTTGTGTTCATTTTCTACTAAAAATGAGGGACAAGGAGGCCATGCTCTCAGGCTGCTTTTTCAACAGTATGCTTTTTCAATACTATATATCTTCAAATAACTGTTCTAAGAATTGACCTGTAAAGTAGAACATAGCTACAGGTGTATGGCTTGTTTTTGTTTTTTGGGTTTTTTTCCTAGTTCTTGAAAGCATTTAGCCAGGTTTTTTGTGAATCTGTAGGATAAACCAAAACAGTGGTGACTTGTTTAGTTACAGGAAGGAACTGGTGTACCACAAACAAAACTCCAGATTACTTGCTGGAAACCTGGTGTTGAATATTAACATAATCTTGCTTCTCCAGTGAAAACCAAGTAAGAGATACTTACAAATTATGATACTTAAAATTTATGCAGACTAGGAAGAAAGTGAAAAGTAGATTTGGCTACAAATGCAAGTTACCCTCCTTACATGGGGACAACCTTCTTTCATTTCAGTGATGCAGAGATCAGAGTTCAGACTGAATGAATGTCTGCATGTTATCAGTACCTCCTGCACCTGCTGCCTGCTAGACCTTTGTGAGTCATTGTGCTGTATAGGCTCAGCCAATGGCTTGCACAGGAGGCCTTGACCAGGTCCTGGCCCTGAGGTGAAACTGCTCAGTGGCTGTGGCTGAAATAATTTGTGGACGTGTTTCCAAAAAGTAGTGTCATAGCTCCAACAATCCTTTGGATCCCTACAAACAGTCTTTGTATGTATTGTTTTCCCTTCCTGTCTTGTTTAATTGTGCTATTTCTTGGAATTTTTTTTAATTTGAAAAGTAAAAATTAGTAATAATGCCTTTAATGCCATACATATGATTTAAATGAATCCAAGAAATTAACTACACTGAAATAGTAGTAAGAAAAAAAAAATATTGGATCAATCTTCAAGTTATTTTGCACTTAATTCCCTTTCCCTGTGAATTGTTCCTTCACTGTTTTTTTTTTCCCATATTGAGTTTTAATTCTGTGGATGTGTATAGCAGTGTATGAGCTCACACAGTTTATATGCAAATGAAGAGTTGTAGTGAAACTGCTTCATTGATCCATCCTATATTTTTGGCCCATGGGAATTACAGTAAATCACAGAACCATCAAATATTTGTGTTGGAGGAGTTCTTGGGAGGTCTTTAGTTCAGCCTCTTGCTCAAATCAAGGTCGCATAACTCAGAACAGCTTTCTTATGGCTTTGGGTGTTGCAAATCTCCACGAACAGAGTCAGCAAGTACTCTCTGGGCAAACTGTTGCAATGTTTAATTATCCTTATATAGAAACATTATTTTCCTCCTTTCAATTTGATCATGATCCCCTGTCCTCCCATTGTGTACCTCAATGAAAAGCCTGACTCTCTTGGTAACTTCCTTGTAGGTATTGGAAGGCCATTATGAGGTCCTCCCTAAGCCTTCTCTAGGCTAAATAAGCTCAGTTCCCTCAGACTTTCTTCACAAGGCATGTGCTTCAGCTCCTAAACATCTTAGTGGACCACCACTGGACTCTCTCCAGTTTAACACCACCACCTTTTAGTGCAGGTTAAAAAGAGGATATGGTATTCCAGGTGCAGTTTAACAAGTGCCATGTAAGAGAATAATCATTTCCTTAATCTCCTGTTTATGCTTTTGGCCTTTTATACGCTGGCACGTCACTCTTCTGACTGGTTTAGCCTGCTGCCCACATCCCCAAGCAGCTCATCTTTGAGTGCAAGTGGCAGATCCAGAAGAGCATCACTTCTGGTTTGCCCACCTAGCATCTATGCAAAGAAGTTCTTCTGATACCTTCATCTCTAAGAACCAGGGTCTGATGTGGACACTTTAAGTTGCCTAAAGAAGGCTTCTTCCACTTCCTGACAGCACTGATCAGGTGCTCTGTAACGATATTCCCCACAATGTCACCCTTGCCTCTGCCATGACCTACAAGCACTCAGCCATCCTGTCATCCATTCACTACATTGAGTTCCTCTTCTGCACATAAAGATGACACCTGCCCCCTGCTTCTGTCCCAATGAGCATGTATCTATCAAATGCAGAACTGCAGTCATACAAGCCTTCATCTAGGAGAAGATGAGGAAAGACCTGCGTTTTTCACGCAGTTCAACAATCATTGGCATTGGGAACATGAGAAAGAAGGGATAAAACTAATATAGAAGCCATTGTGTGGTGCTCATGTGGAAATCCTACAGAGCACAGAACAAGGTATCTGTTGATTAGCCATGTAGTGAAGTAACAACAACAGTCCCTTCTTGCTTCTCCTAACTCTGGAGCAATATTGATATTTGGTGGTGGTGACCCTCACCCGGTGGCAGTGAAGGAGTAAGCCATACCAGTACCATTCCCAAAGAAGGGCAGCTGTGCTAGTGTAAAAGCAAGCAGAACAATAGGAAATATTTCCCCACCATGGCAGTGCACTAAGCTCTCCAAGTTGGTTTGCCTCATTTGTATTTCAGTTCTATGGAAATGTGTGCATTCATACTTGTCTCTTGTGCCAGGCACACATCCATACAAAAGCATCTGTGAGCAAAGCTGAATTCCAGCAGTCAGTACTTGGTTAATTTCTTTCCTTTTTGCAAAATCAAACAGTCTACCTTAGGTTTTTTGGTTTGGTTTTTTTTTTAAATAAATGCACCTTTTGGTTTGAAATTCCAGCCTAAGGGATCCTTTTTGGAAATGATTTAAGTAAACAAAAGCAATGAGATTACAGGTGAGGATGAAGATCATTGCTAGCTCGTACTGAGCTTATTCTAGTTATTCAGGGAGATGTTCACATTAAAATCTGAGTAGAGATTTTCCTGCAAGTGAAATTGAAGAGCAGTTTGTATTAGTGGGAGAGATGTCTGGCTTTTCTTAGAATATTCATCAGAGGGATGATATTAGGGTTGCACAAGATGAAAACTAGTAACAAGCTAGCAGTCATAACTAAAATACATCTGCATAATAAAACAAACTAGCTCTCCTTTCTCTTACACATACAGGTGGCCTTTGCAAGAAGAAACTTCACAGTGAGTGGTCATAGGTATAATTTGAACTAAATTTCCACCTTTTTGGTCTATGTCAAAATGTCAATGCTTGCCTTCAGGCGGGCTTAATATTCAGCTGGGTCATTAAGGCAACTGGGGTCTATCAGAAAAAGAGAGGTAGACAAGACCATGTCAGATTTAATCAGTTTACATAGCACCTGGGGCTGTAATAAATTCTTTATAAAGCAACAGGTCATGCTGTGTCAGTAAAAACATCTGTCAGCTGCTTAAGACAAATGAGTAGGTATTTTCCTGGTTATGGGGAGGCAGGAGGGAGAAAGGAAAGGGTGATGAAGGACAGAAGGTGCAACAAAACCAAAATTTGACTAACCTTGGCTTAGTCTGTGAACCGCATACAGAGCGTAGCTATTGTAAAGTGCAGTAAATCCTATTTTAATAGCAACAGATAATAACTTGCCCTTATTAACTGAAGAATATTTTGATGCCTCTGCTTCCAAGCGAAGCTATGACCGCTCCTCTGCATTCAGCTTTTACGAGGATTAAAGACAGTTGTCTGTGAAATCTGGTGCCTCTGCTATTTTGAGAGAGAACAGCATATGAGCTGCTAGCTCCATGCTGATGTTGGGTGGCAGAATTAGTACATTAAAGGTAAAAACTATTTCTTTAGTAGATTGAACAGCTTTATGCATGAGTGCCATTCTTTCACCTCATTCACTCAACAGTTTTTAACTGTGAGAGTTTAACTAGAAGAACATGTGGTGCAGCAGGGATAGATAAATAAGCAACAGAGGGAGGTAAATGGCAGTAAGAATGATAATGTCTAAGAACATTCTGAATCATATGTTAATTACAAACACTACCTCTTGAACAGAAATGAAGATGACTTTCAGGGGAAGAACAATCTTACTGGGAATCGGGGCAGCTAGTTCAATACGGACTTCAATGGGAAGAAGATTTGCAGGCTGCTATGACATTGAAACCTGGTAATAATGAAGAGAGTTGTGACCAACTAGAAAGTATGACATGAGAATTAACAGGAGATGAGGAAGAAAAACAAGAGCTCAAGAAACTTGATTAATTTAGCAGCAAGCAATTTCAAAGATAACTGATAGTATGGACAGTTGCAGTGAGATGACCTGTGTAAGACCCAAGATGCAGAATCCTATTGCTTTACTTGGAGAAAATGAGATATTCTTTTTTGGGTCCTTATAATTTTACTAACCCTGTCTGTTGCAAGACAAAGAACTGATAGCATTCTCCCCAAAAGAAAGGAAAAATCACTTTCAGTGTTTCTTTAGCAAGAAATGCCTAATTCAGATTTCATTGTAACTTTGTATTTTTTTTTCCTGTTTGATTTGTGACTTAGCACTCTGTAATTTCTGCTTTTCCAGAGGTGGCATCTTTTCCAGTGATTAAGCTTGAGGCTATGAATTGCCCTACCTCCCTCTATGATAGAGGAAATTTTGAGTTCTGGGTCAGTGCTAGAACATAAAGTACTCACCTAGGTTGGGAGTATAGGGGATAAAGGAAATATTTGAAACACTGACTTCAGATATTTAAAAACACCTCATCTATTAAATGCTGAATTAGGGATGGGGAGAAACCTAGAGGCCAGATACTCTCTTACTCTCTCTCATAACTTTATAATTGGAGGTTTAGCAGGCTATATATATAATCAAATATTCAAATACTTCTACTGTAAGTAATATTCAGTTTAACTTTTTTGTTTCTCTTCTTTGAGAGTAGTAGTAGTCAACTTCATCACTTATAGCAGAGGATTGGGGTTTTTTTTTCCTTGGTGAGATCAGACAGTGCAGGACACTTCGCAAGACTGTGGAGTTCCTGGAGGCTAAGGACTGAGCTCAGGCAGACTGAGTGTCCTGCTGTGTTGCCTAAGTCAGTGTTGTGGTGGAAAACACAACTTCAATTTGGGTTTTTCCCAGTTAAGGTTATCCAAGTGCATTCATATGGGTTTAGAGCAGTGAATGTGGCTGTTTGCCATCATTGTGGTCATTTATTCAGTGGGAAAGAAAAAAATGTTTTTCTTCTTTCTTATGAAACTTGTGTATCAAATGTCTTGCTTTTTATTTATGTTACTTTAGGGAGTAGAAAAAAATACTAAAGACCAAATAAGGCCAGGGAAGTTATTTAATAAGCTGGGCTCATCTTCTGAGACCTGACGAAAATTGTGAACCATATTTTTTTTAGGGTATTGTAGCACATCACTCTGGCGCACAATGTTTCCAACCTAGTGCCACAGGTCAGCTGAATACTCCTAAAGCCTGTGATATTGAGGATAAAGCAAATTACTGCACCCTTTTTGTAGCATAAATTAGTATGAAATAGTAGAAATAGTACTATTTCTGCTATCTAGGATGTTGGGTGTTCCATAGCATGCAATGAAATAAGATAAATTTTAAACCACTAGTGTTTTACAATTAAGTAGAATATTGTCTCAAACAAAAGGGACTAATGTAGAAATTATTATAACTCTATGAAGGCAAACTACCTTTATTTGTATTGCAAGGGGTGAGTTTGAGATCGGTCCTGGGGGAATCATGGAAAGGAGGGACAGGTGAGCCTGTTTTAGGCTAATGTACTTGCTGTGAAACGACCAGGTATAAACCTGCTACTGCAAGTCATTGGCTGTGTTAACAGCTGCAAAATACTGGCAAAAATAGCAACATTTCCATCCCACTGCAGTCTCCTTCACAAGGCAGTTTTCTTTGGCTTTGTGCAGTGTTTCAAAGTTTGGCCCGCTGAATGTCTGCATTCCTGTCGCTATTCATAAATCAGATGAAAATCACTGTATGAAACCTGGCTTGTCATGCTCTCATGTGTACAAGGCTGATCTGTTTTCACTTAAAACAATGTGTAAGCCTGTCATGAGTGCGTGGAATTTTAGAAAAGATTTTGCAGGTGTAAGATGAAGTGCTTACCATAAAACCACGAAACTCCAATTGCCTCCATTAGAACAGCAAACAATATCGAAGTCCCAGCTGCAAATGTGTCCAGGAGTGTAAGCACATAAATTCCACCCTAGGATGGAGGAATTAAAAGATGCAACAAAACAAAGTTACAAATAGAATAATCTCAGTAGTTTAGTATCTAGTTAACAGAAATCTGCTTTATTTGAAACATTATCTTTACCCAGGTATTTTAATATGGACATGGATTCATATTTGCATACAAAATAGTGGAATCAAACTTGGAACTCTTTAAAAGAGGCTTTCTTTCACCTATGCCCCCATTGAACTGGGGAACAGAAGCCTCAACTTAGCATGATTAATGAGTGCTCTTGGCACTGGTTGTTTTCAATGGAAGTTGAAGGCACTGGCTGTTCAGGGAAATGCTCAGCAGCTTGTAGGACAGGGGCTGTCTACAGCAGTCAGTAAAGATCTTCCCAAATTATTGGCAGGAATGGAGTGCTACAAGAGCTTCTGTTATTACTCAGTTTGTTCCTAAGGCAAATTTGCCTCAGTTTGTTCCTAAGGCAAATTATTCTGTAGTCCAGTGAATCCGCAGTCTTAGACTGATGCCTCCTTTTCCTAGAGTGCCTGCATCTCTCTTTTCCAATGATCCTGCAAAGGGAGCAATTGCATGTTAAGTCTCTGTTACCAGCCCAGCATGGAAGCAGCTTTTCCCTGTTTAGGTTCTTTGCTGTGGTATTTGCAAGCCTTTGTTTAGTGGAGAGAGCAAACCAGATCATCTTCCTTCCCAACAGTGCATTTCTGTTCTTCAGCGATTCGTGACTGAGAACCGGAAATGCATTACTAAAGTCTTGTTTCACTGATATATTGGTTTTTTTAGCTGCAGTTTGACTACTTGTTGCCTCTTTTTACGATGTGGTATGAATTTGTGTAAATTACTGCTCAGTTTATTTAGTTCGAGCTAACAAGGAATGGAAGACCATGGTATGTTTACTTGTTTCAAAATGAACCTGAATGAAGTGTTCCACGAGGTTCTTTGTTACACGTAAACAACTGAAATCTTTGCAGTTGCAGTAGATTGTTGTTAAAATCCTTTTTTACAATCAAATTTAGTCTGACTATGCCTGTTCAGAAGAGGAGGAACAAAGGAATTATTTTCCATGTTTTTACCAATGGTATAAACAGCACTTGTACTATTTAGATCTCTAGGTGATTTTAATCTCTGCAATCAATCAGTTTTCTTTTTTCTTAGAAAAAGATGGTTTTCTGAAACAGCTGTGCATATTTACAAAAATAGAGAGAACAATACTTAGGCCTTGTCTAGGTTTTTAATTCTGTGGGGACTTGTCCGGAAACTGAATCAACTTTGGTTGTTGTGTTAGAAAGAAAATGTTGCCTATTGAATGACATTTGAGTTTGACCTCTTGTTTTTGCTCTACACCTGCTCTAAATGAATGCCTTTGCTATTCAAACTTAGTAAAGTGAATGACAAATATGGTTTTGTAAGAAACATGTTTTGAAAACACAGCCTTAAAATTTCAGAGGACAAAACCAAGCAGATTAATCTATCACAAGGGTTTTTCTTTGTATTTTGTACATGTTACAAATGCTGTTCTTCAGTTATGTGAACCAATACATTTGGACAAGTCTGGGCAGTTGTGTGCATTCCAGCTGCTGGGGTGAACTTAAGCCTAAACAGGTGCCATTATTTAAAAGCTAGAGCTAGGTTGTTATCGTGAACTGCTTTAGGTCACTGGAAGGCAGTGGAATTGCACCCGTTGGCACCTGCTCAGGTTCTGAACCACCCAGTTTCTTCTGATCTTGCACTTCAGGAAATTTTATTCCAGCTGAAATTCTTTAGCTAACAATGGAGATAGTGTAGTATTAAAATGATAGGTATTTAAAATGTTATATCTATTTTTAGTGTCTCAAGTGTTTTCCAGTTTGAGGAAACTAGAGTAAAAATATTGGGGTATTCTTTTAGTGTAAAAAGAGCTCTGTTATTTATAAACTTATGCCATTTCAATAATCTTAATAGATCTGGAAACCATTTCTAGGGAAGGAGAGAGCTTCAGCACATCTACTTCATCGTGGCTACCTCAAGTTTCAGTTGTTTTCTGACACTTTTGGCATCTTTGCTTATGGGGCTTTTTGCTTTTTTGTCAAAAACCAACCAACCAAAAAACAACCAAAAGTTCTCTCAACCTGGAACACTGTGATTCTCATCCTTCAATTAGTCATCAAAAGCCTGGTGAGGCAAATTATTCAGGATGATGGTAGTGATAAATACAGGTTACTAGATGTTCAGGATAAGTTATCTGTGTGCTTTTTATGGTGTTAACAGTAAGAGATAAGATTTAGGTACATGAAAGAACATTAAGAAACACATGGGGGAGAGGAGATTGTTATTCTAAACTTCTTTCACAAGAAGTGAACACTTATTTGCTTCAAGAAGAGAATAGCCAGATGACTAAGGGTCTGGTTACTCGAAATTCTTAATTCCTCACACAGGAATAAACAGGCAACACAGGTCTATTTAATGTGATTTAAAAAAAACCAACACAACAAAACAAAACACACAAACCCAAACAAAATCAACAGTAGCACAGACAGTTCTTTGGAATAAAGGCTTGTAGGTTCAGTTGATAGATAATGATCTTGTGCAAAAAAGCAGAGAAGCTTCATGTAAATAAGACTGAAAGTACTATTCAGACCATAAAATTGTTTAAGAATTAAAAATTGTAACAAGTCACCTGAGCCTATTGATATTTCTATCTGATGAGGTTAACTGTATTTTTAAGGTAGGTTGTTGATGGAAACTTTTTTTGTACTTACGTTTGTGATGCAAAAAAGGGCAAGTAGGAAAGTGCCAAAAGAAACACCAAAGGTAAAGAGCTTTCTATGCTGCTTCAGAATTTGGAAATCATCTGCCAAGCCAGTGATGACAGCCTCCATTCCACCCATCTGAGGAAGGGAAGGCAAGAGCTCTGGTTAAACGCTACTGACTGTTGTAAATACAGATTGAAAAATGTAAAGCAGCTTGTATAATTAATTCCCAACTACTGTATGATTTCTGGCATTTCAGCTGTAAATCACTGGTGTTCTGAAGTATAATTTATTTTCTTGTTGTAGAGAACTGAGTCAGGGAACTGGATGTTAAGTGCCATGGTTGTTGGCTCGATAGCCGTATCCTCTGCGGACCTTTTACTGACTGATGACAATAGTAAGTAGACAGTACTTTGGGAAAAATAATATACATTTTAACATACTTCGGAGAAAAAGCTGGTTAGCTTAAATAACCAAACTCTGTTATATTTCTAATAAAGACAGACACAATAAGCACCTAGGGGAAATGTACTGAATAAAGATTCAGCTTAGCCATTGATTAACCAAATGCAGTTTGACAAAAATCTTTAAAGATCTGGAAGAATCACTACATAGGAAACATGATGTAATTTTTATTTTTGTGACAACGTGAAAGAATTTTACTTTGTTTTCTAGAAGTTAATGCTGAATTATATTGCCATTGTTTTGCAATACAGGAAAGGTACTTTCCAAGTTTTCACTGAAGTTGCTGGGTTATGTAGGTGGTTATGAATTTTAATTTCTTTCCACCAATGAAAGCATTCTGCCTCCCCTCCACCAAGAAGTTGTGAAGAAGAATTCCAGTCACCTGTCATAATAAAGAAACTTATTTAATATTTTGGGGGAGCTGGATTCCATGCTTTTTCTGAAGCTTAAAGATCATGGCAAGACCAGGAGTGCTTGGTGCAATACAATAGTTAGTTAGCAGATGCTGACATTGCCTGTCCCTTTCCTGTAGGAATTTGATGAAACCAACATTTCTGGTTGAAATCAGTAACAGAGAATTATCTCTTTAGAATTTGAATGATTCCTGCCTAGAGTCAAATTGCTAGGGGCAGTGGACCTATTTTTTTTAAAGGTAACTAAAGTTCACAAGTAAAATGTTCCAAAACCTTGTGTAGGCTTGTATTTCCTAATGTCTGGGGGTGCATCAGTGAGTGCCCTGCAGTTAAGATGGGTTAATATCTGATGTTCTTAGAAGTTGTTACCGTGTTGGCACTTAAATGGTCTTGGAGAAGTTGAAATGGAAAGAGTCAGCTTGGATTATTTTGGCTAAGGACCGCTTCTTAATGTATCATGATTTATTCCCCTTGCTAATTCCCTATGCCAAGCTAGCTAGATACCTTGTTGAAAAAAATGTTTGCAAACATATATTCCATTTTCTGTCCTTTTCATTGTTGCTTGCTTAAACTTGCATGATCAGATTTCTCATTGCTCAAACACTTTAACAGTTCCATTTTTGTACAGATGTCTGTATTTCTGTGCCAGTGCAGGCTTATATGCATGAATAAAAGTTTTCATATGTTCATAATATAATTATTCCTCTTTAACTTTGGGGTTATTTGACTTTTAGCTTTTAAAATTTTAATTTTCCCTTCAGGGACTTAATCAGTCAAATGTGAGAGGAGAGTTGAGAAGACCACCATAAAAAATACTGCATGACCTGAGTTTTCTTGGGTAAATGATAAAAAATCCTGAACAAAACATGAACAAGCAAATCCCTTTCCTTTTAGAAAGACCAACCTAAACCTGTGCTAAACCCTTCCTTTCCATCCTTCATGTGTGCTTACCATTGAAAAATGGCCAAGCTACGAACCCAGATACAATCTTGCCTCAAACTTTTCAATAAGGATCCAGATCTTAGTGTATAAAGACAAACTTCATTGAACCTGAGCTGGAATCCAAAAATCCAAACACTTCGGAAACATTTAGACCTGAATCTGACCTTTACAGCTCAGAACTCATTCCACAAGATCTCGTTCCACTATTTGCCTGTGCTTATCAAATCTTCCTGCTGCAACCTCTTTTTTCTTAGTTTTGCTCTCTACATGTCAGTTCATTCTTTCCTTTTCTTGTCCTTGAAAATAAATGAAGTTTTCTGAAGTTGTAAGCAATGGAAACTCTGGGGTTTTTTGCCATTTCCAGCAAGAAATTCCTAGATCAGCTCTGTACTTTCAGAACTATGAAAGAGACTTTTATGCTTTAGAATAGTAAGAAAACCCCTACCCTACTAAAAGTGATGAATGTTTGTTCATGGTTTGCTATTCCTTAAAGACCTTGTTTGTTTTTCCCAGAAATTAATCAACTTTTAAGCTAAATATAACAGGATGCCTTGATGCCTCTTTGGCAAGAACAAAGCAGTACAAATGTTGTAAGGGGACTTAGGATATTTTCTGGGCTGCAGATTCTGTGAGCCTGAATATAATGGTACAGTAAAAATCATCACATTATGAAAAGAGCAAATACACTCATTAGACTAGACATTTTACAGTAAGACAGTAGTAAAATGAAACCTCTATGGAAATATTCTGGTGTGATTTTTAAATTGTGACTAAATTTACAGGAAATTCGGTATCATTGCTTGTAGGAAAAAATCAGACTACCTTCAGACATTGTCTGTCTTGAGCAGATTAATGAATTTCAGCACATGTAAAAACCTCTTCTAGAAACCACTCTACACAGTCTTACTGTGGCTTGTGTTTTGCAAGTAGGGCTCCAAAACCTTGTTGCAGGTTCGTAGTAGTAATAGTTCATAACACTGATGCTGAGTCATACATTTAAATAGTAATAATTGTTGATGAACAGCCCCTCTGTAAGGTCATAAAAAACAACAGTGAGTAATTATTTGCTGGCTTGTAAAAGATTTGATCTTTTCCTAAACCTCTTAAATATCGTGAGTCTTTAAATATACTGCCAGGTGTAATACTATTGGTATGTTGGCTGTGACTGTGAAAACAGATTCAGGGAATGTACAGAATGTTTATTTGAAATGTAATAAAGCTCCTGTTTAAAGCTGATACCTCTCCAGTTATATAGCAGTAAAGGAAAAATGTCAAGGCTAGAAGGAAAAAATACTCACAGAACTGTCGATGCCAAGAGTAAGGAGCATGATGAAGAATACAACAGCCCAAAATGTAGATCCCGAAAGAGTTGAAATTGCCTCTGGATACAGGATGAAAACTAAACCAGCTCCTGAAGTAGGAGGGGAAAAAATGGTAAAAGGACTGCTAAATGATAGTTTCTTAGCTTCACAAAAGTGTTCATTTTAATCAATTTAAAGATAAATTATGACAAAAGTTGACATGTCAGTCCACATCACGGTCTGAGTAGCTGTTAACAAAGTTTGCATTACACCAAAAATATATCCAAAATACTTTAATAATGTACTTATGACAGTTTTGTACCACAAAAAATCTATCCTGTTCTTTTCTGCTTCTGATAATCTTTTATGGGATTCACAATTTACTAACTATTTTTCAACTATGTAGTAGAGAAGGAATCCTGTGGATGTGAACTCCACTGTTTGGCAGGAGAACTCTCGAATGTGATGAGAGATACAGGAACTGAAATCATGGGTGACCTGTTACCAGTGAAAGGACTCTACAGCTATGCTTACCAGAACCATCCAAAACAGTAACCTATGGCACTGAGCAGCAATACTTTTGCAAGATACTGTGCAGTGATAAATGCCTGTTTGACGCACAGGCTGAACTTGGGGGCAGGATGTTGGGAAACCTCAATTCAGTAGAGGTGAGATGAAACAATACCATTTAGAGTTCATATTTCAGCAAGGCATTTACATGCAGAATTTTAGTTCCAAGTAATTTAATTCAGGTCACTTCCATGAGATTTTCACATGCTCATTTGAAACAAATAAACACATTTGCAAAGACATGGTGGACAAAAAGGGGTAAAACTAGTGTAAAATGAACTTCCTACCTTCAGTGGCTACATCCTCAATTTTAACTTTGTGCTCATGAGCCATGTAGCCCAATATGGAGAAAATTGCAAATCCTGAGATGAAGCTTGTGACACAGTTAATGGTACTAGTCAGCAAAGCATCCCTAATGGCAGAGAGAAGAACAGCCCGGTGAAAAAAAAGCCACTTTAAGAACTAGGTGGGGATGATCTTATAGCGATAGGAAGATTCTTGTGAAAATGCTAACTGTGCTATTGTCCTGATGATCAAAAGCTCATATCAACATACTATGCTAGAAAGTGACATACTTCTGTTTGCTATTTTGATTTAAAACTGAGTTCTGTTTAAAAAAAAAAAAGCAACAAAGCTATATTAAATATTAAGATATTAAGGAGTAATGTTGTCATCCTAGCTGGTAGCCATAACATAGTAAGAGTGGCCTGAAGTGAAAGAGCCTTACTATTCATCAAATCACGTGAACAATTATTCAGGAGTATTTTTAGCAAACTGTGCTGCCATTCAGATGGCAGTGGATAATCATCCTTAATCTGTCATGAGATCCCTTCATCTATGAAGTCAGCTAGGCTCTTCTGAAAGAAATACAACTCTTTTATTAAATTGTATAATATTTAACTTTAAACTAAATTCACTATTGTAACAATGTGCATCATATAGTATTGATTGTACAAAGTTGTGGGTTTAAATTGATCTGCCATGGTATTATGATAGATGTGTGAGTTTTCCTGAGTATTAATAACCCCTATTCCCAAACGTAGCTTGAAGATAAGTAGACCATACATCTTTAGATGTCTACCTAATCTGCACAGTGTCTGGTATGTAATGGTTTGCTGCATATGACCTTTGCAACAGACGACATGGCTCTGCGAACATCAGTGATGTTTAATAAGCAGAAAGTAAATAGGATTTCTTTTCATCAGTTACACTATCCAAAAACACAGGTGTCATACACCAAACTTTATCCTCTTCCTTATATTACTTTATTTTGATAACATTGAAGAATTTATGTCCTACAGTTCTTAGTGTTTTCCTGGTGGAAGGCTGCAGGATCAAGAGATACCAGATTGGACCCATAAACTCAAATTCTTCTCAGTTATTAAAGAAGAAAATTGCTAGGTATTTATCCCTGATAAGATGGCAACAGTATTTCTTGTTTCCCACAATTCAAAAAGCATTATTACGTAAGTGAATAATGCTTCTTTCTACTTAGTCAATAGCTGGATTAAGTGATGCTTAACTCCTTGTAAACTGAGCTGAGCTAGTTCTCAGTATCTTGCATGTAAAACTAGATCCTAATTTAAATACAAATCCTGATATTTTCTGGCCCAGATTTTTAGTATTGTTACCCTACCTTACATTACTGACACCATTCCTCTCAAAGGTGTGTTGAAGCATAGATGGGACAGTGTAGTACTGAGTCATGGCCTTCATTTGGAAACAGTACTATTTTCAATTTGTTCAGTTTCAAGAAAGCCTTTTGAATAAAATGTGTCAGCATACTATGGAGTTGCTTGACCAAAAGAAGGATATTTGTGTTGTAAATGCTACTGAATTCAAGCTTGCTCTTATGGTTAGAACTCAAACACAGTAGTTAATGAAACTACAGATTACTCTACAGGGAAGGCAAGGCTTATGAAGCAACACTGAACAAGTAGCTGCTTAGGAAGCTAAGAACTAAATATTTCACATATAGTCTGTGGTCCTTTCTTAGTTTCAAGTGGATTTTTTCCATTTCAGAGCAAAATTAGAATACAGAAGAAAAAACAGTTATAAAGGACCTGCTGTGAAATTAATGCAAAATTATTTGCAGAAGAGACAATAAATGTTCTTTTGGAAGATTGCGATGGCTAGCATTCTAACTGAAGGGTTCTCAAACCTGGTAATATTACCTACTGCAAATAATCAGTTGGCAACCTAAAGTTGCTCTGGGTTAAGTACAAAGCTCTCTGAAGTTAGTGGAAGTATGCCATGATTTTGGCTTTCAAACTATTTAAGGCAGTTCAAATCTATATATTTTCTTGTGCCTTTTTGTTTTAACATTTTTTTTGCCATCCTTCAGTTCACAAGGTAATACATATACTTTCTGAATTTATATTTTGTGGGAAACTTTAAAATGATGCTTGTTTTCATTCCAAAATGGAATGTTAACGAAACTTCTAAATATCAGAAATTCTCAGAAGGTGCAGAGCAGTTCTGGTTGAATTTCCATGGTGGTGAGTCAGCAAAACACTTACAAACTGACTTGATTTAAAGTGCATTCTTAAATTGGAGCTCAACAAAAAATATCAGAAATATAATCCCAAGGCACAGAAACAGTTCTGGAAACTGGAATCCTTCTGCTTTTAGTTCCTGGACCAATAAGATTTCATCCTGTGTTCACTGTTGCTCTTAATGGTACTTTTGAAAGGCAAACACAAGCACAGTTTACACAGCTGTATAAAGTCCAAACCTAATCCTATTCTGTTTTGCTGTACAGCAGATATCTTGGCAGGTTCCTGTTGCTAAAATTTCAGTAAGGAAGACAGTGTTTCAAGATTTGGGTTGGTTGCTATATCCACACAAGACTGGCCATCGTTAATAATAAATGACTGAAGATAAAAAGGTAGCTTAGTGCATATTCCAGCTGCAGTTAGAGTAAAATGGTGTCATTCTGAAGCAGTAATGAAAGAATAGGCTGTCTTACCTGTAACAGTTGTTGTCAAACTTATTGTAACTGGCAAATGCAATTAAAACGCCAAACCCAGCTCCTAAGGAGTAAAATATCTGAGTAGCTGCATCAATCCATACCTGCATAACAACACCAACATTGTCAGTTCAGTCCAAAAGACACATCAGGGAAATGCAAGAGTGTACAAGAGAACTGGCTTTTGAAAAATGATCAGCACTCATGGGAGTGTAAGTGTTCTCAGCCCCCATGGGATGTCACATGGAGCACAGTCGTGGTCTGGAATGGCTTGGGCTGAAGCAGTGGGCAAGTTCTCAGTGCATGCACGCTGCTACTAGGGTGGGGTGTACCGCCAGTTGGATCTGTGCTGCTGGGCTTTTCAGAGTACTGAAATGATTACATGATTTTTTTCTCCCGGGTGACAGAAATACACTTCCAATAGTTCTTGTTCCAAGCTAGTTTGGAATGTACAACCAGAAAACTAAAAATAGTTAGTGGGTCAAGAGTTACAGGACATTTTCCTTCCCGTAAGGGAGCTTTCTTTATGGGATCGTTAGTACATTTTATATGATGCTTTCCTGTTTCAGAAGCTGAAGCATGACTGACATGCTGTGAACAGAACCATGCAAATTATCTGTCATCTGTCCCACTTAAAGATGGAGTTATTCCTGTCACAGTCATTAAATTTCAGTTTAGATGCAGCTTGGTCATTTTAAGAAATTTCCACTAGGGAAAACGTGTTTTTAATGCTATAACATTTTCTAAAGTGACCCTCCAGCCCAACATCCACTTAAGATACGCAGACAGCGATCAGGAACAATGCCACAGTGCTGGTCTCCTGAATCGGAAGCCTGAAAATAGTCTACCATGGTTAATGAGGGTTTCACTTATTCAGTTGTTACACAGAGATATTTAAATAAGTATCTTCAACAGGGTGATAAATTCAATGGAGTGGATAATACTCAACATTTCTCAAAATGAGATCTTCAATGTTTGGTTAAATCTGGCAAGTGCTCAGGACTACAAAAAGCACTGGATTTCATCTCTATCCATCTCTACAAAATCAGCAGCTTATGAGCTCCATCTGCATTGGGGGTTTAATGCTAAGCTTTCACGTTTGGCCCAATGGAAAGAGAGTGAGTGCCTTATTCCATCCTAACATGATATATGAAAGCACTTACGCTAGCAATCTTTTTTTTTCCCTCTACATAGATGATAGATGCTTTCAACTACTGCCTGCTGAAAACCGAACCTGTTATTGAACTCTGGATTTGTAGAGAAACTTAATTTTATGAACTGGTGAGAGTTAATTACTTGAAAGATAATATGGACAACAATCTATGATGTGTTTATTGCAAGCCAGTGGATAGATGGATATGATTTTTCTCAAGTTGCAGTTCATACAGGACTTTTGGGTATTGTGAATTTCTTTTAAAAAACAATCCTGTAAAATTAATTCCTTGCTTGTTCCTTTTATATAGCCAGTTACATCTTCATGTTCTATCTCCACACAAAGTTTGAGATCAAATAGAGTTGTACTCTGGAGAGTGTTTCTGTGGATGAGAGTGCAGAACGAGGGATGCAAAGCCTCCTATAATTTTTCTTTAAAACTTCTGATAACTTGTGTTGTTATCAAAGTGCCTTAATTTTTTTAAAAGTATTTTTGCTTAAGCTATAACTAGATCTGCATGCTGCCACCATAAGGCACTTGTTTTTAGTGGTTCTCTAGATCCTTTGTGTCTTGCTAGTGGAGTTGTACTCGTTATACTTCCCCTTTCTTACTATTCAAGCACCATTAAGCAGATGTTTGTCCTATTGATTCAAATGAGAGGATAGCACCTGCTGCCTACCAAAGTAGTTATGCATATACTTAAGCATCTGTTGAGTAAGAGTCTTGGCTCATAGTAGCTGATTAGGAAACAAATTGAGAAGATCAAGGTGAAGGGGAAGAAAGAGCAGAAACCAGAAATTCCTTTAGAACTAAGATTAAATGCAAAACATCCCTTTTCTTAACTGTGCAGGATGTGAAACAGCGGGACTGGTTCTTCTGCAGTTTACACTCATGTTCTCTGTTCACTTCAGCTGAATGGCTTCTGATTGATGCATAGTCTAATATATTTTATGGTAGGATATTGGTTTTATATGTATTAAAAATGAAAAAATAGAAACATTTTACAGGAGGCAGTCATCAATATTTTCAGCTTTCTTCAAGGTTGTTTATGCCATTATAATTTTTGTGCGTATTCTTTCTTGTGTATGTGGATTAAAGGATTGCTATGCTGTGTGGAGAGGAAACATTGTGTGCACCCCCAGATATTATATAGTATCTTCATGAAACTTGTTAAGGTGTATGAAAGAGAGTGTCTTCCTCATGTCTGATTTAACTCTGTATTTAATGCCGATTCCTTTAAGAGAACAGAAGTGTAGCTGCTGTTTTACACAGATGTTTAATGTATCCATTTGCGCAGTGAAGAGGAGTATTATGACTTTGTAGCTTCTGGACTTTCAGCAAGGAATATAGCTAGGCATAGGTCTAATTAAGATGTCCTCAGATGAATATTTTTCTCTCCTTTTTATAGAGACACCCTTTGTGGATTCAATATCCCTGAAAATGAAGTGTCCCAGGGCTTGCTCAGTGCTGTGCAGTATGTGGCCCTATAAAATGAGGCTGACCTTGACATTGATCAGGATGTTCTAAGGTCTTTCAGAAGAGCATTTGCAGAGCCCTCTGTAGATCATTACTGTTTGTGACTTACGATGCTTCTTTGTTAGATTCTTCATTTGGGAGAAACAAATAATAAATCAAAAGGGATTCAGGGATGCATTGACATAGAACTGAAGCAGGAGTTTATTCTTTGGAGCCTGAGGACAAAGATTAAACACAGAAGCCTATTGCA